GGCGCCCCCTGGCTGGACTTAGGTCGGGCATGTCCTCCTTCAGGCGGGCGCGGGAGGAGCCATGAAGCATGCTCGCAAAAAAAAATCCCAGACGGTCAGCCACAGTCGAGATGTCGGCCCCCCCCGGCTATTTGTTGACGACTGTTGAACATTCCGTATGTGGAGGGGCATGCCCGACTTAAAGCTAGAGGCCTCCCTGATGGGGTCCGAGTATGAGGTCGAAGGATCGCGCCGCATCGCCTATGCATCGCCGAGGTCGGCGACGTATCGGCGACGTCGGCGTGGAGAGTATCTGATTCCGCATCGAGCTGCATCGTCGATACATCGGCGATGCGGGGAGATCCTCCGACCCCATCTACGCGGACCCCCATCTAGGAAGCCTCGACTAGCGCGCCCAATCCCATGCCAAGCGGACAGGATGCGTCGCCCTCACCTGGCGCTGTTGGGCGCTCTTGGACGCCAATTGGCGCCCTTTGAGCGCTGTAGTCAGCGCTACTGGGCGCAGTTGGATGCTCTGGAGCGCGATTGAGCGCTAGTGGAGGCTACTCGCCGATATGCAGGGTTTTTTTCCCCCCCATTTTTTTGTTCCCCCCAGGACGGGCAGAACTCCCGTGATGTGTTACCTAACGAATGTTACCCTCGAATCTAGGCCGCCGCGCGGCCATGAGGGCCGAGGGGGAACGTTAAGGGGGCGGGGGGGGGCAGCTCAGGGGGGGCAGCATCGAGCTGGAATCGGCGACACGAGCAACGAGCCGAACTCTATACACCGACGCTTTTTTGTTCTGGATCCGCACTGAGATTCGCACAAGGTAGCGGATCCTCATGTACACGGGATCCTGGCGAATACGTGTTCCGCTGCTTTCCGGGGAAAACCGGGGAAGAACTGTACACCACACTACCCCTTGGGCGCCCCCTGGCTGGACTTAGGTCGGGCATGTCCTCCTTCAGGCGGGCGTGGGAGGAGCCATGAAGCATGCTCGCAAAAAAAAATCCCAGACGGTCAGCAAGCAACAGTCGAGATGTCGGCCCCCCCCCGGCTATTTGTTGACGACTGTTGAACATTCCGTATGTGGAGGGGCATGCCCGACTTAAAGCTAGAGGCCTCCCTGATGGGGTCCGAGTATGAGGTCGAAGGATCGCGCCGCATCGCCTATGCATCGCCGAGGTCGGCGACGTATCGGCGACGTCGGCGTGGAGAAGATCTGATTCCGCATCGAGCTGCATCGTAGATACATCCGGCCGATGCGGGGAGATCCTCCGACCCATCTACGGGACCCCCATCTAGGAAGCATAGGGACTAGCGCGCAATCCACGCAGCGGACAGGATGCGTCGCCATCACCTGGCGCTGTTGGCGCTATTGGACGCCAATTGGCGCCCTTGGAGCGCTGTAGCAGCGCTACTGGGCGCAGTTGGAGCTCTGGAGCGCGATTTTGAGCGCTAGTGGAGGCTACTCGCCGATATGCAGTCCATCCAGGACGGGCAGAACTCCCGTGATGTGTTACCTAACGAATGTTACCCTCGAATCTAGGCCGCCGCGCGGCCATGAGGGCCGAGGGGGAACGTTAAGGGGGCGGGGGGGGGCAGCTCAGGGGGGGCAGCATCGAGCTGGAATCGGCGACACGAGCAACGAGCCGAACTCTATACACCGACGCTTTTTTGTTCTGGATCCGCACTGAGATTCGCACAGGGTAGCGGATCCTCATGTACACGGGATCCTGGCGAATACGTGTTCCGCTGCTTTCCGGGGAAAACCGGGGAAGAACTGTACACCACACTACCCCTTGGGCGCCCCCTGGCTGGACTTAGGTCGGGCATGTCCTCCTTCAGGCGGGCGTGGGAGGAGCCATGAAGCATGCTCGCAAAAAAAATCCCAGACGGTCAGCCACAGTCGAGATGTCGGCCCCCCCCGGCTATTTGTTGACGACTGTTGAACATTCCGTATGTGGAGGGGCATGCCCGACTTAAAGCTAGAGGCCTCCCTGATGGGGTCCGAGTATGAGGTCGAAGGATCGCGCCGCATCGCCTATGCATCGCCGAGGTCGGCGACGTATCGGCGACGTCGGCGTGGAGAGTATCTGATTCCGCATCGAGCTGCATCGTCGATACATCGGCGATGCGGGGAGATCCTCCGACCCCATCTACGCGGACCCCCATCTAGGAAGCCTCGACTAGCGCGCCCAATCCCACGCCAAGCGGACAGGATGCGTCGCCCTCACCTGGCGCTGTTGGGCGCTCTTGGACGCCAATTGGCGCCCTTTGAGCGCTGTAGTCTGCGCTACTGGGCGCAGTTGGATGCTCTGGAGCGCGATTGAGCGCTAGTGGAGGCTACTCGCCGATATGCAGTCCATCCAGGACGGGCAGAACTCCCGTGATGTGTTACCCAACGAATGTTACCCTCGAATCTAGGCCGCCGCGCGGCCATGAGGGCCGAGGGGGAAACGTTAAGGGGGCGGGGGGGGCAGTCAGGGGGGGCAGCATCGAGCTGGAATCGGCGACACGAGCAACGAGCCGAACTCTATACACCGACGCTTTTTTGTTCTGGATCCGCACTGAGATTCGCACAGGGTAGCGGATCCTCATGTACACGGGATCCTGGCGAATACGTGTTCCGCTGCTTTCCGGGGAAAACCGGGGAAGAACTGTACACCACACTACCCCTTGGGCGCCCCCTGGCTGGACTTAGGTCGGGCATGTCCTCCTTCAGGCGGGCGTGGGAGGAGCCATGAAGCATGCTCGCAAAAAAAAATCCCAGACGGTCAGCCACAGTCGAGATGTCGGCCCCCCCCGGCTATTTGTTGACGACTGTTGAACATTCCGTATGTGGAGGGGCATGCCCGACTTAAAGCTAGAGGCCTCCCTGATGGGGTCCGAGTATGAGGTCGAAGGATCGCGCCGCATCGCCTATGCATCGCCGAGGTCGGCGACGTATCGGCGACGTCGGCGTGGAGAGTATCTGATTCCGCATCGAGCTGCATCGTCGATACATCGGCGATGCGGGGAGATCCTCCGACCCCATCTACGCGGACCCCCATCTAGGAAGCCTCGACTAGCGCGCCCAATCCCACGCCAAGCGGACAGGATGCGTCGCCCTCACCTGGCGCTGTTGGGCGCTCTTGGACGCCAATTGGCGCCCTTTGAGCGCTGTAGTCAGCGCTACTGGGCGCAGTTGGATGCTCTGGAGCGCGATTGAGCGCTAGTGGAGGCTACTCGCCGATATGCAGTCCATCCAGGACGGGCAGAACTCCCGTGATGTGTTACCCAACGAATGTTACCCTCGAATCTAGGCCGCCGCGCGGCCATGAGGGCCGAGGGGGAACGTTAAGGGGGCGGGGGGGGGCAGCTCAGGGGGGGCAGCATCGAGCTGGAATCGGCGACACGAGCAACGAGCCGAACTCTATACACCGACGCTTTTTTGTTCTGGATCCGCACTGAGATTCGCACAGGGTAGCGGATCCTCATGTACACGGGATCCTGGCGAATACGTGTTCCGCTGCTTTCCGGGGAAAGCCGGGGAAAAACTATATACCACACCACCCCTACGTCGTCCCTGGCCCTGGGATTGAAAAAACAGCCCGCCACTGGTAATGTGTATGCTCCAGTTTCCGAACGTAGGCGACAGATCGGCGACAGCACCCCGATCGCGAGTCCGCACGTTCCTGGGCGGGGAGTGCCATCGGCCCCCAGATCGGCGATGAATGGGCGATTGGGTGCCGACGTATCCCCCCTTGAGCGCATCCCCCCACCTAACACTGTCCCTGGAGTGCCCAAACGATGCCTCCGCAGGCGGCCCCCACAAACGCCCGAGGCGGGTCTCGGGAGTCCACGGCGGTCGAAGAGGGCCCCCCCCAAACGCCGCAGGATAGCCGCATACGCCCCCCGGAAGGCAAGCAGCACTGGACAGCCGTAGGGTCTGATACGCGTGTACCCGTGTCCATCTGTTGCGCCCGAGGATGCCCCGAGCCCGTTTCGGGGGCCACATGCGAACCCTACCCCCACCCCCCACGATTTCTGAGGGGGAGGGTGGGGTTCACTTCACTCGGGAGGTCACGAGCGAGATAAACCCCGCCCTCCCCCTCAGAAATCGTGGGGGGGGGGGGGGGGGGGTAGGGTTCGCTTGTGGCCCCCTACCGTTTCAAGACGCCCCCCGAGCCCAGAAGCCGTGCCCGCGGGCGGCCGGCAGCACCGCCCCCGGGTTGTGCTGCGGCGATCGGTGCTGGAAATCAGCCTGGCGAAGGACCCAACCGTGTGAACTCGGGAGTACCGCCAGAGAAGTGGAAACGGAGGGAGGGGGCCAGCAGAAGGACGAAGGCACGCGGGAGAAGGACGGAGCGACGTCGCTGATGGGTTCGCAAAGAGCAGCCGCAACGGCCTACATCTGGGTATAACCCGTCACGGCTGATCTGAGCGTCTGTCGACCCGCCCCCAGGGAACAGCAGGGCGCGGTCTGGGGAGCAGCAGGCGGCGGTGCCTTTGACGGAACTCCTATGGGGCCACGAAATGTGCGAGGGGTGGGTGGAACGGGGGCACCAAGAGGGAGACGGGGGGGCGAACTCCTCCTCCTCCTCCTCCTCCTCCTCCTCCTCCTCCTCCTCCTCCTCCTCCTTCCCCTCCTCCTCCTCCTCCTCCTCCTCCTCCTCCTCCTGCCTTCTTTTTCCTTCCCCATCAAGTTTCAGTGGTTGAGTTGGGTCAGCTGGTCTGTTGGGTCAGCTGAAGCCGTCGTCCTTCTCGTCCCGCGTCTCCTCCTCGTCCTCCTCCTCCTCCTCCTCCTCCTCCTCCTCGTTGTCCTCCTCCTTCTATTCCTCCTCCTCCTCCTCCTCCTCCTCCTCCTCGTCCTCATCCTCGCCCTCATCCTCGTCCTCCTCCTCCTCCTTCCTCGTTCGCCCTCGTCCAACTCCTCGTCCTCCTCCTCCTGCTCCTCCTCCTCCTCCCTCGTCCTTGTCCTTCTCCTCCTCATCCTCCTCCACCTCGCCCTCCTCCTCCTCGCAGGGGGCGGAGACGCCTCCTCTGCGGCTGGCTCCGCGGCGGCGGCGGCGGCGGCGGGAGGCGGGTGGGCAGCGGCTGGTGGCTGCGACCTCCCCGGGCGTGACGCGGGCGGTGCACGCCCTTGCAAGAACGCAGGAGGCCCTCCTCTTCTATTACCTTCATGGGTGCGGTTTGCAACGGGTGCGGTTTGCCTCCTGTCAGATATGCCCCTACCGCCCCCGGGAAGCGGATGACACTGTCACTCAATGCGACCGAATCACATGACACTGTCGATTCTTCTAGTATAGTGGAGCACACATCGAGGATGACAGTGTCGCTCGAAACGGCGACAATTATGACATTGTCTCTCACAAAGGCCCCAGAAAAGCCGCCAAAAAGCAACTCGCAAACCGCACCCTGGCGTGACCGCACCAATTGTAGTCACCGACTGTCGGGGATGGACGGAACCTGATAAAACATGGTTCAGTGCGAACGATCTCGGGCCCAAACCTGGCGGGTGCAGGCCTGAAAGATCACGGCCGCGGCGCCCTCTCGAGAACCGAAAGCGGACAATTCACTAATCGACGTGTCAGGGTGGGGGTTCCGTCCGCCCCCGGTTATGGAGAATTTCTCCCCGTCGCAACTCCAGACGTGTCCGCAGGCAGGCCGGGGCGTTTCGCCTGAGACTGCCTCGCTGACTATGATACTGAGGCTTGGAAGGATGAGAAAACCTCAAGGATGGAGGGCAATATTCAAAGCGAGGTTCTCGCCTCAGCGCCGGGAGCACTCGTATGCCACAACTTCGAAGGGGAGCGCTGGTGGATGTCAATACGTGGCCCTCGCCTGAGCGCCGCGAGCAGCCGTCTTACAAGCTTGAAGTCGTCTGGGATGAAGGCCGGCTCGTTTTCTTAAAGAGCTCTCGCCTTAATGGCACGATCAGTTCTGCAAAAACTGCAACAGCTTCGCAGCAGGAAGCTGGTTCCTTTTCAAAACGTGGCTCTCGCCTTGGCGCTGGGCACATCCACACAACCCAACCCCCACCCTCCTATTCGAAAAAAACGATCTGGCGCATATCCATCCAGACCAACCAGTTCTACCCAAGGTAAAACATACTATTATGCTCACATCCATACGACCCAACCTTCGCACTCCGATGTAAACAAATACTTGTCGGCGCACATCCATACGACCCAACCAGCACCCTTTGAAAGCAACAAATTCCATTCGTTGCACATCCATCGGACCTAATTCACCACCCGATGTTAACACACACCGTTCGGTGCACACCCATACGACCCAAGCTTCACCATCCACTGCAGACGCACGAAGTATTCGCTGCACATCGATCGGATCCACCCCTCACCATCCGATAAAACAACACGTCGGCGCAGATCTATCAGACCCAACCTTCACCATCCGATGACACAGAATGCATGTGCGTGCAAGAATCCCAAAAATGCGAAAACGAGACAAGATTAGCGGTATCCGGGCCGTCGCCTCCTGGCAACCACGACGCCGACGCCAACGCCGACGCCGACGCCGACGCCGACAACGCCGACGACGACGCCGACGCCGACGCCGACGCCGACGCCGTCGCCGACGCCGACGCCGACGCCGACGACGACTAAGAAGCCGACGACGACGCCGACGCCGACGCCGACGCCGGCGCCGACGACGACGCCGACGCCGACGCCGACGCCGCCGACGACGACGACCACGACGGGCGCGCTCCGAGGAGCCGACCCGGCGGCCCTGTGAGCCGGCAGCGGGGCGGCCGGCGCGGGGGCGGCCGGCGCGGGCCGCGGCGCCTCGCCGCTGCGCCGCTGCGCCGCTTCGCCGCCGCCGCCGCCGCCGCCGCCGTCGTGGCCGCTGGCGTCGTGGCCGGCGCCGACGCCGACGATGACGACGCCGACGCCGTCGCCGCTGCCGCCATCGCCGCCGCCGTCGCTGTTGCCGCCGCCATCACTATCGTGGTCGCTGTCGTCGTTCTGCGGCTGTCGTGCTGTCGTAGGAGTTCTGGCAGTTTGTGGCCCATCGGTCGGAAGAAGTGGGTAGAACCATGGAGTAGGAAATCGTTGCAAGTAGATTGAGATTCCGCCCGCCCCCTGCAGAGGATGGAGGAGGAAAAACTGGTCGACCCTTGAAGTAGGAAGGCGCCCAAGGCAAATTGGAATCTGGGAATCCAAAGACACCGAGAGATTATCCGAACGAAAACTTGCCCGGACAATCCCTCGGACAACCGGGACAACCCATGCTCATTATGACAACGAGACGACCTACCCCGAACAACCCCTTGGACAACCCAGCGGGAACCTGGACAGCCCCTCTGGACAACACCCCTTGGACAAGCCTGCTGGGTTTTCCAATGTCGCCTGTGCTCTCGACAGCGACCGTCGACTGTGCTCTCGACGACGAACGTCGAAGGCGACCGTGTATGAAGCATGACACTTTCAACGACCAGCTCGAGGAGGCCTCCGCGGGGCCCGACGAGGCCCCCGCGGGGCCCGAGGACATCAGGCCTCCAGGCACCTCCGGAGACCGCCGCCGTCGTCGCCAAGGCCGTCGCCGTCGTCGCCAAGGCCGTCGCCGTCGTCGCCAAGGCCGTCGCCATCGTCGTCGTCGCCAGGACAGACCTCCACATACCGCCGACGTCGTCGCCAACGCCGCCGGTCGTCCCACGGTCGGGGCTCCAGGGGCCAGGACCGAGCGTCGAGGACGTCGGCTCGGTGACGGGGGTGCTCCAGCGTGTCTGGCCACCTGGGGGCATCCATTTCGGGGGCATCCCAATGGGGGCGCCCTCGTGGCCACGGCTGGGTCCGCCTCAGAACTCTTCGCCCGCCCCAACGGCCGTGGGTGTCGCTGGCGGCGTCGCCGCCGCCGCCCTGCTCTTTATCGCGGCCCTCGGAACGTCGAAGCCCCTGCTGCTCTGGCATCCCATCCCCCCGTCTTCCAGCTCATCCTCGCTCGCTCGCTCCCTGAAGGCTTGAGTCAGCAGCCTGACCACGGAATAAGACAACAACTGCCAAGCACAGCCGTCCGTATCGTCATCCCAAACCAGGCGGGCGCACGCAGAAGAGACAGAAGGGAGGACTGGCACGTCCGCAATGAGGGGTGGGCGAAAATAGGCACGATGCCCAGCGACAACGGCTGTCCAGAACCGGCAACTGCCGCTGCTGGACAATCTCTCAAGCGGACTTCCGCGGCGGCACCATCAGCGAGTCAATTCCGAATGGACGAGGCTGCTGTCAATCTTCGCGCCCGTCACTTCCGTCCCCGTGCTGGTCGCATCGAGGAACGACCGCAAGCAGGGACACCCGCAGGCCACACAAGAACGACCCAAGAAGAGGGGATTTCCTCCAGATCTCCTGTCAACCAGGAGCCACAGCAAAGCGGGGGAGGAGAAGTAAGGTCTTTCAATCGCCGGGGCGCGGCATCTGGGGTCCAGTGTCCAGGACCTTGGCAGGAGGATTCCTCCCTAAGGGGAGGGGGACGAACAATCGATCTCCCGCGCAAGTGTCAGTACACTCTCAGCAGGTGGAACAACAAATTAAAGAATTCTGCCTAATCAACTACGATACGTGCCATCAATGCATGTCGCAACCCATGAGATGAAAAGGTGCTGCCGTTACTTGTCGGATCCGGTCGGATCAGTCCGAATCGGAGTCGCTGTCGCCGCCCGTCACTCGTTGCTTAATCTGGTCGTTGATGATATCAGAAACCTGCTCGCAGACCCAGCCCTTTACCTCGTCCATGTTCATGACCTGCTGGAAAGCGCCCGCGAGACCACCGCCCGCAAAGCCGCTCGCCGCCGCGCCCAGGCCGCCCATCAGGCTGCCAAAGTCGAAGTCCCTGTCCTTCACCTGGTCCTCGTCCACGTCCCCGTCCGCGTCTTCGTTCGCGCTGAAGTCGAAATCACAGACGTCGACCGTGCACAAGCTGCTCGAGAACGACTTGAAGAGGCTCAGATTGAGGTTGATCGGCAGCTCCTGTTCGCCGAGCATGGGCAGGTCAGCGGTGACCTTGCCGCTAAGCACCACGTTGTCCAGATTGAACTCCTTGAGGTCGATGTGCGTGTCGCCGCTGTCCTCGGCCAGAGTCGCCCTGTTGAGCTCTATCCCGAACGGCCCGAAATCTTGATCGATGGGCGTGAGCCACCCCAAGATTGTCGTTATCGCGACGCGCTGCAAATCAATGCAACTGCTGAGGGCAGCCCCCATCGGTCCGGCACGATCCAGGCGGCTCGCTCGCAACGGGGACCCGCAAACTTGAGCTGGGCCTCGATGGCACTTGAAGGGAGGAGGAGGAGGAGGAGGAGGAGGAGGAGGAGGAGGAGGAGGAAGAGGAGGAGAGGAGGAGGAGGAGGAGGAGGAGGAGGAGGAGGAGGAGGAGGAGGAGGCGGGGGAGGAGGAGGAGGAGGCGGGGGAGGAGGAGGAGGAGGAGGAGGAGGAGGAGGAGGAGGAGGAGGAGGAGGAGGAGGGAGAGGAGGAAAGAGGGGGAGGAGAAGAGGGGGAGGAGAAGAGGGGGAGCGCGCCCAGACGGCAGCCGTCGTCCCTCCTCGACCTGGCGCACCACGCATCTTGGCCCGATGGCCGCTGCCCCCTCGGCTCGAGGGCAAACGAACAGAGGAGGAAGGGTCGACCCCTGAGGCACATGCGTCTGCTGCCCCCCAACACAGTGATTGTCCACATACTGTCTGCGCATGTTGAGGCTGGAGTCCAGAATGCTGAGACAGCAGAACCACTCGTCAGGCAGTGGTCACTCTTGCTGCTACTACTCAGCCGTGGGCACTGCATCGTGCGGCGGGCGTTGGCGCAGTGTCTGCGACAGTGGCCCTGGCAAGCTCACGCATCGCAAAGAGCACGGGGCATTGTCTTGCTTCCTCCGTCCTCCACCGTCTCTGGGCGTCCCTCCCGCCTGAGGCCCTGTGTGGGTGACTGCGGTCACTCGTTTCATCCTCATATCCATGAACATTAAACTCACTTCCCTTCCCCGTCCCCGTCTATATCCTCGTCCTCCCTCCCCCCCCGGTCGCTCCGGAGGTGGAGGACGACCACGAAGACGACGATGCCAGCGGCGACCTGCAGGTCTCCTGAGGCCTCCCGAGGCCTCAAGAGGCCCCAAAGGAGCCACGCACCCTCCCGAAAACCCCGCGCGACGGCGATGCCGACGATGCCGGCGGCGGCGGCGCGGACCACGGCATCGGCGGGTGGCTCCCTGCCCTGCCCGTCAGCGCGCGGCCGTCTCGGCCCGCGGGGACGCCCGTGGAGCGTCCCCCCGGAGGTGGGGCGGAGGCAGCACGCCACTGGGGGCGTCGATCAGTGGGAAGGCGGCGGAGGTGGGCGAAGGGGGCCCCCTTTGCCCTCGCTTCGTCGACGCCCAGATCTGTCGCACTGCGCGACAGATCTGGGCGTCGACGAGGTGGGCGAAGGGGCCCTTTGCCCCCAGGCGGCGGAGGTGGGCGAAGGGGGCCTCACGCGAGATGGCCGCCAGCGACCGCCAGCGCGGTGGCTGACGCGGGCCGCCCGCGCGGCCGTGCGCGGGCAGCCTGCGCGCCCATGTCGGCACGGTCGGACCAATCTAAACTGGGATGTTCCTTCAGCAGTTTTTTGCCCTTTGCTCGATTGCGATTTGAAAGAGTGTAGATCTTCTCGGAACCTGCAAGATATAGCAGCAAAGAAGCAAAGTTCGCCTGGACGATGTATAGCTTTAGATTACAGGTTATACGAAACCATATGTGCTTTTTTACTTCGCTCAGGTGCGGCCAGCTGCAAGAGGAAGAGATGAGGCGCGCGATCCAGTCCTGACTTCAGAGCCAGAAACCTGGCACACGCAGTGCTAGCCTTGAGGATGCGAACGGGGAACGCTGTGGAGTGACCAGCTCAAGGGGAAAAGCACCGAGTTGGAATCTGCGATACATCGCCGATGAATCGGCGGCAGGCCCACGATCGCAAATCCGCACGGTCCCCGGCGGGGCTCGCTATCGGGCCCCTATCGGCGATGGATGGGCGATTGGGGGTCGAAGCGTCCACTCCGTAAAAGCCTAACCCTCCCTGACGTCGTCCCCTGGCTCTCGGGTCATGACTCGGCTCTCCGGCGACCGTTTTTAGCACGATCCCAGCGCAGCTGAATGGAAGCACTCTAGGCATCGAGATCTCTCAACGAAGCTTGCGAAAACCGTCCGTCGAGAACTTCTGCCCCCCGAGCCCCCCCCCCCAGAGCCCACCCCTAGCATTGCCCCCCAGGGCTGAGCTGCGTTGATAGGGATGCCGGTGGCGACGACATCGACGACGACGGTCGTCGACGACGGGGACCGCCGCGGCGCCGGAGCGGACGCCGCCGACTGCCCCGGCGTCGGCGGAGGCGGGGCTGGCGCGTGCGCCGTCGCCTGGGCACCCTCCTCCTCCCTCCCTCCTCCCTCCCTCCCTCCCCCTCCCCTCCCTCCTCCCTCCTCCCTCCTCCCTCCTCCCTCCTCCCTCCTCCCTCCTCCTCCTCCCTCCCTCCTTCCCCTCCTCCCCCTCCTCCTCGTCCCCCTCCTCCAGCTGCGCGCGCTCGCGCTCCCGAGGCGCGGCGGTCCCTCGTGACTCGAGGCGCCGTCGCGCGCCCGAGGCCGAAGCAGGTGGCAGAGCGCCATGCTGAGCGCCATGCTGCCGCTCCTCCTCCCTCCTCCTCCTCCTCCTCCTCTCCTCCTCCTCCTCCTCCTCCTCCTCCTCCTCATATTCCTCCTCCCTCCTCCTCCTCCCTCCCTCCTCCTCCTCCTCCTCATATTCCCTCCTCCTCCTCCTCCTCCTCCTCCTCCTCCTCCTCCTCCTCCTCCTCCTCCTCCTCCTCCTCGTGGATGACCACGCGCTCGCGCCCCCAAGGTGTTGGACGCCGCAGTGTGGCGGCCGCAGTGTGCAGGGCATGGGGGGGGCCGGGCCACCAGGGATTATCGGGAGCCCGGGGATCCGGCGGTGGCGGAACGACCCCAATGTGTCGGGCGGGGAAAAAACAGTAGCAAGGGGGCACGAGATGGCCAGATTCAAACGCGTAGGCTGTCGCTGTCGCATCGCACTCGGCGCTCGGTGGGACCCTTGTGGGCTCGCACCAAAGGCCGACAAAATGTGTACAGTCGGACTTGATTGGAGAGGACACGCGAGAGGACACGAGACCCATCCGAGGGCCACATCGCCACAGGAGTGTAAGAAGGCACGTGTCACACGTGCCGCGTGGCACAGGACCCAAGGGTACCCTCAATTTGACAGGGTCGACATACTAATGAGGGCCGACTGTACAATGCCCAACCACAAAAGTTGTCCCAAACCAATAGCGGCCGCTGTTGGGCAGGCGGCCTTCTGTATCAAATGGACACAGGCCGCGGCGGCGCGGACAGCGAGTCCTGTTCGAAATGAACAGGAACAATTGTTGGGCATCGTACCCATCCTTTCCGTACCCATTTCGTTGAGGTTATATCCCCGTGTAAGCTACCACAGGTTCGCGCCCCCTGATGTCACAATTCCTGCGACAGTGTGGCACATTCGCGCTCACGAGGCCACAAACCCACTCCACAGAGGCTGCCCAAAAACGCCATCCCCCTCTCCAGAAGAGAGATATTGTAATGCTCGGCATTGGTACGTATTTGAGTTCGGGAGACGCTTCTCGGCTCCCCCACCGTCTCCTCAAAATTCGGCGCTGGATTCGAGCCACGACTCCTCGCAAATAGCGAAGGATACAACGGTAACGCGAAGGTTCCCAATCATATAATTATGGATGTTCCGCTCCAAGGTTGGGAAGGGTTGAGGAGCGCATCAACTTTCTACTATCTGCTCAAGTACACAACGAGCCAACACCAATTTAAACACAGACATGGAATCCGGCAAGAATTCTGACAATTCACCAGCCAGTCATCCAACCGACAAGAAAACCAATGAACAACCTAACCAAGCGATACCATACAAGCAATCTGAGGGGTGGCGGCGGCAGAGGGCTAAGCCCTTCAGAGTTTGCTTAAGTGCAGAACGATGTGCGGTCAAGCGAATTCCGTGGCTTTCGCGCGGCCCTCGTTGCTCTACCAATGTACTATTTCCCCCACCTGCTCCTGCTCCTCGTCCTCCGCATGCTCCTCCTCCTGACTCTTCCTCCTCCATCTCCACCCTCCTACTTTTCCATCCCATCCGTCCCCTATCTCCGCCTCCTCGTCATCCTCCGTCCCCCTATCCCCTCCGGAGGATGGAGCATGCGGGGAATGAGGTGGAGGAGCGAGAAGGCGGAGGAGGTGGAGCAGGAGTGGGTCCTCCTTCACTTCCGACAGCAAAGGCCAGAAGCGTCGACGACACCTCAACGATTCCGATGACGATATCGAAGACGACTCGAAACGACGACAATGAACAGCAACGACGACGACGACGACGACGACGACGACTGCGACAACGACGGCGACTGCGACGACGACGACTGCGACGACAACCTCGCCGACGACGACTTCGACGACGACTTGCCTCCAACTTGCTGTTCGCACCATTTTGGCCCCACGGTGCCTTCCGGAGGAACCTGACTAGCTCTTGTCTCAGGTGATGCTGGTGTCGTCTTTTCTTCCAACTCGACCGCGGCGGCCTCGACAATGACGACGGCGACGACGCCGCTGCCGCCACCGCCGCCGCCGCCGACGACGACGACCCCGACGACCTATATTGACGACGGCGACGACTTACCTCCAGCAGGCTATCGGGGTCGAAGGTTGCCAGACGGGAGGGGGAAAGGGAGAAGGGTCCAGGAACCTCCAGGAGGAGGAGGAGGAGGGTAATTTGTTGTGCTCCCCCTGTGGACGCCGAACGTGCTAGCTGCGGGTGGGAGGGGAAGGAGCAGGAGAAGCAGGAGGAGGAGGAGGAGGAGGATAAGGAGGAGGAGGAGGAGGAGAAGGAGAAGGAGGAGAAGGAGGAGAAGGAGGAGGAAGAGGAGGGAGGGAGGAAGGAGGGCGGAGGGAGGAGGGAGGGAGGAGGGAGGAGGGAGGGGGAGGGAGCAGGAAGGTGGGAGGGAGCAGGGAGGCAGGAGGGAGGGAGGGAGGAGGAATGAGGGAGCGAGGCCCCCCGAAGACGCGGCGTGAGAACGTCGAAGCTTTGCTCCTGCGAGCGGCCCCGCCGGACCGGCGCAGCGGGCGCGGGGGCGGCGTGCTGCCGCACGGGGGGCATCGGCGGCGGCGCCTCAGGGGCGCGGGGGCGCACTCCCCCGGGGCCGCGGCGCCGCACGCGGCCGGGAGGATGGGGGGGAAGGAGGAGGAGGAGCGAGGGGAGGAGGAGGAGGAGGAGGAGGAGGAGG